AATGACTTCTTTAATAAAAACAAATCACCCTTCAGGGACAAATGAAGTAGAAGTCGTGCAAACTCCTGAAAGTGAGAGTACACCGACTAAACTCTCAAGACTCTGTATGAACAAACTTCAATAACTTGTTTGCTTCTTGCACAGCATGCATGCTGTTTGAAATACATTCTCAAAAAGAGACTTTAAAACTATTCATTAAAACAGGTGATCGGAAATCAAAAAATGTAATCGACTAGGCTGTTATCTAACTAAGTACACAGAGATATAAATACATATATAAAACGCTCAGTGTCCCTCACTTCTGACCCGCCTGCTCCTCTCCAACAACCAGAAGGTAACGAGCAGCGGTGCTGTGATGTGCCGGGTCGGGGTCAAGCAGGGAGTAAGAAAAAAGATCCTTTTTAAATCAGAGATGTAAGATTACTAAATTATGGCCTGGAAATAACATTTGATAAAATAATATGAAGTGAACATATTTTTCCTTCTCTTTCTTCTTATTATCTTCAACGTTTCATCCTGGCTCAGCGGCCCCCACTATGGACGGCCAGCCCCCCTAGCATTTATAGCATTTAATACTACCGGCCCTTTAAATGCTGCTATAGTATTGTTAACTCAAGACAAAATCTATAAGGACAGCATTCCAAAAGTGTATTTTAACGTTCAGAGCAGACACTCTTCTTCAGCATATAGCAGGTAACTCAAACATACACAGGTGGGACTTATTTATACTTCTCTAAAATACTCGTTCATCCCAGCAGAGGGAGTCTCCACCAACAACTTTCAACACCACAGTAGGAAATTAGCAGTATGAATGCACTTTTTCACCTCGAGGTGCATATCCGATATAAAAACCTCTGTCTCCTCTGTCCTCTTTGTCCCTTCTGTCCTGTCTGTCTCCTCTTTCCCTTTTGTCCCCTCTGTCCTCTCTGTCTCTCCTCTTCCCTCTCTGTTTCCTCTGTCCTCTCTGTCCTATATGTCCTCTTTGTCCTCTGTCCTATATGTCCTTTCTGTACTCTCTGTCCCCTCTGTCCTATATGTCTTATCTGTCCTCTCTGTCCTATATGTCCTCTCTGTCCCCTCTGTCCTCTTTGTTCCCCTGTCCTCTTTGTTCCCTCTGTCCTCTCTGTCCCCTCTGTCGTCTTTGTTCCCTCTGTCCTATCTGTCCTCTCTGTCCCCTCTGTCCTATCTGTCCTTATTTTCCTCTTTGTCCTCTCTGTCCTCTCTTTCCTATCTGTTCCCTCTGTCCTTTCTGTCCTCTCCTGCACAGATCATTAAAATGTCTCCACGCTGTAAAACAAGCTAACAAGCTGTGCAGTGTCAGTGACTTATAGAGCCCCCTCTTCCTCGTCCCTCCTCCTCACGACACAAAGGGAAATAGAAATGGTGCATCGGGGTAAAAAGGTTGCACTGCTTGACTAATTCTAAAGTTTCTTCCAAAACTAAATACAAAGCAGGACTCTCCTAGACCAGGATCAGACGCACATTTATCCAAAGGAACATTTTAATTGAATATTTTAGTAATACAAATTTGCCGTTTGCCGGGGGCTGTGTCTGCAGCATTGGAGTGCTTCTTTTTCTTTTTCTTGTTTTTATTTGTCATGAGTTCTCTCTCCAAAAAAACTTTGGAAAGAGTTAAAAAGTTAAAAGGAGTGGGTTTGGAAAACATAAATCAACAAGAAGTAACGGCTCCTCATTACATCGTAAGTCGCATGGTAATTTTGTCCTGATGAAAGCTTCCTCTCTCCTGGGTATCCAGAAGGATTAGCATAATTGTTTTTAATTGGAAATTAAAAACAGCCTGTTAGACTCATCCTCGACATTCTTTGAGAGAAAAACAGATCGCTCGTCTGCGTGCTCGAGTCGGGGGGTCACCCGTCTCTGAAGCAGTTAAACTTGCTATACACGCTTAATCTAAACTGCTCAGAGGGATACACACACACACGTACGCACGCACGCACGCACGCACGCACGCACGCACGCACGCACGCACGCACGCACGCACACACACACAGAGAACAATGTATGAAGTGGAACACACCGAGCAGAAAAGGAACAGATCCAAAGCTGTGTCTGTGACGGATTACCACATCTGACGCTGTCATTTTCTATAATTTCTTTAATGCTTTAAATTCAATAGACAGTTATTGGAGCAGAGGTTGAAGTTCCAAAGCTAAACTACTTATCAGTCTTCTGTTAAAAACACACCACAGTGATTGATTCAGCGGTCCACCCAGCTGACTCCTGTTCTCACTCTGTGCTCAATGCTCTGGAGTAAAGAGTTTTTAACAGTTGGAGGAAAGATTCTTCATCATTTTACAAAATTTAAAATGCTCCTTGTCACTGAAATAATCTTTAAACTATGTGTGGGGTACAAGATCTTCTTTAGAAGTTGCCAGGTAGAGAGTCGTAGCCATTACCAGCGACAGCACACAAACACATAGTACAATAAATTTACTGACACACTTTTTCTTTTCTTACTCTTATCTTAGGGTTTATTTTAATATGAATTGTGTTTTCCCCTCTAAATTAATTTAGTTTTTGCAACACACATCTTTAATCTGCTCTATTTATCCACACATGCTACACAGACAGGAAAACAAGGACTACGCCTCGCCTTTTGAAAAGTTCCACTTCATATAACGTTATTTATAGGAGTTCAGCACAGAATCAGCAGCAAGCAGCTGATTATTAACATTAAACGAAGCCATGAGAAGCGTCTCTCTCTCTCTCTCTCTGCTGATATGATTCTGCTCTCTTGGTTTAGCTGTGTCTTATTTCTCCGCAGCAGTCGAGAGATAATTCTTTTTTAAACGGGAGTTTTGCTCCTCACGGCTCTGTTCCCCACACGCCTGCACTCTCCCCACTCTATCTCTCTCCCCTGCACTCTCTCTCTCTTCCTCTCTGTCTCTCACACTCTCTCTCGTGCACTGACTCTCTCCCCGCCCTCTATCTCTCTCTCCACACTCTCTCTCTCGCGCAATTTTATATATAAATGAAAAATTTAACAAAAACAGGTCTGAAATATACTTGGACAGCCATAAAAATCGTCTACGCGTATTTCATAGTGACTAAACATCTGGTGATTGACTGGTTGGGTCACACCCCTTATAGATTACAAACATTACAGAGGAGCAGGTGAAAAGCTCTGAGACATCCATGCCCTCCCACAGAGACGACTGGGACCCTGAAAGGCTTGGTGAATGGGTCCCCAGATGTCATTAAATAGTGTTGGATCGGCACCTCCTCAGATCAGCTTTGCAGCGGAAAAGCACCTCATCAAATAATTCATCGGGGTCAGATGTCCTAACTGTCTTTCTTCTCTGGCGTCCTCACGTTTGTGCATGGCAGCACACTGGCCAATATGGCTGGCCTTATGGTTAAATGCAATGGACTTCCTGCAACGTTGACTTTTGACTTGACTTTTCATTAAGGGATGACATTTTGATACAAGCAACACAAAGTAAAAATCTGTCATTTTGTGTCCTAATGAGCATTTTGTGTCCTAATGAGCATTTTGGTTTAAATAAATGTTACTTATTACTTAACTCTAGGATGCAATGTTTTACCTAACCTTACCTAAGCTTCCCCACCCCCCAACCCCCCCATGTGGTCGGCCACGGATACACCCAAACCAGACTACCACAGACTATCACAGCAGAAAGATAAAGTTAGCATGCTCATCAGTTGAAGATAAAGTTATCATGCTCATCAGTTGAAGATAAAGTTAGCGTTCTCATCAGCTGAGGATAAAGTTAGCGTGCTCACCAGCTGAAGATAAAGTTAGCGTGCTCACCAGCTGAAGATAAAGTTAGCATGCTCATCAGCTGGGGATAAAGTTAGCATGCTCAGATAAAGTTAGCGTGCTCACCAGCTGAAGATAAAGTTAGCCTGCTCACCAGCTGGGGATAAAGTTAGCATGGTCACCAGCTGGGGATAAAGTTAGCATGCTCAGATAAAGTTAGCGTGCTCATCAGCTGAAGATAAAGTTAACATGCTTATCAGCTGGGGATAAAGTTAGCGTGCTCATCAGCTGAAGATAAAGTTAGCATGCTCATCAGCTGGGGATAAAGTTAGCAAGCTCATCAGCTGAAGATAAAGTTAGCATGCTCATCAGCTGAAGATAAAGTTAGCATGCTCATCAGCTGGGGATAAAGCTAGCATGCTCAGATAAAAGTAGCGTGCTCATTAGCTGAAGATAAAGTTAGCGTGCTCATCAGCTGAAGATAAAGTTAGCATGCTCATCAGCTGAAGATAAGTCCTGCATTGCTTCTTCTACATGCTATGGTGTAATCAGCCAGAGTATAGCTGACACAGATATGTGAGTGTGTGAGTCTTTATGTGCGTGTAAATCCACTTAATGTCTTTCAAAGACGACTGGCTGGTCGTGGCAGTCGAGACACAGATGTTATTAATTCATTTAGGTTCTCACTCAGTGAGCCTGAATGCACCGCACATCTTTTAGGGCTCATAGATTAAATGCAGCCATAAAATACAGTCACTATGTGATAGTAGTAATAATAATAAGTGCAGTGCTCAGGAAGTGGACCTTCCAGCTACCAGACCAATTTCGGGACTTGGTCCGTGCCAGGACTTGAACCGGCGACCCTCCAATTCCCAACCCAGTCCCTACAGACTGAACTACTGCCGCCCCAGTAGCTTGTCAGATTGCCTGTTGTCAGATATGGTCAAAAGATTTAACTTCTAAAGAGCTCTTCTAGTCTGACCATCACTCAAAGTGCTCATACACCACACCTCACCTCTCCCAAACATTCACACCTCGATGGCGATGCTCCTGAGTTTTTTTATGTCCTTCTGAGTGACTGCATGTAAATCTACTAAAGCCATTCATTCAATCAGGTCTTTTCATAAATGTTACGCTTGAAATAAAAGATTATCTTTCTCAATAAATAGAGAATCAGTTTAAACAGGCTGAGGTGGTCGCTACTCTTTAGCCTTTGTTTTCATTTTAATTCAAAAGAATATTCTGTCTTGTTTCTTAGGTACTACGTGTGTGTAGCCATTCTGCTCTACTTCCTTCCCCTGCTGGTGATGGGTTGTGCTTACCTGGTGGTGGGACTGACCCTCTGGGCGAGTGAGATCCCTGGAGACTCTTCTGACCGCTACAAGGAGCAACTGACGGCGAAGCGCAAGGTAAACTCTCCTTTACTGAACTTTATGTGGCATCAGATTTACTGTTCCTGCAATGATACCAGTGATTCAACAGCACCATGAACCTGAGGCCCCGTGTCCACCTAGCGTTTTGTTCAGTGCAGAGAAACGCTGGCTGTGCGCTCTGAAGTGCTCACTTCAAGTGTTCGTACACTGAGAAGAAAAGCGCTGCACGTCAGTCCTGTCTCCATGACAACAGTCGTTATGACGGACACTGCTCCGTTACTTTGTACTTTTAAGACCGTTTATTTCCTGATCAGACACGGAGCAAGGAGGATGTGGGTACAAGACACGATCAGTAGGATGTTTTTGGAACAGAGCGCCTTTCTAAAAGGTTTGACAGATTTTCAACTCAAGCGCTCGGAGCAGCGGCACACAAAAAGAAGCTGGGCGCTGCGCCTTTTCTCCTGGCATCTGTCTGCTGCTGCAAACGCTCTCTAATCATTGAAAATAATTGAAAAATAGATTCATCAATGCATTGGAATTATTATTTTAACAATTCAATATCGATTCAAAGAAATCCTGAGATCGAATTTTTTGTTGTTGTAATGACACCCCTCTCCACTAGGGGGCACTGTGGATTCAGTTCAGGCACATTGTGCACTTTAGATCATACAGTACTTTAATGTTTTATTTTATTTATTTATAAGAATAATGCAACGATAAAATACATTCTTGAGTCAGTTTGTTTTAAACAAATACAAACACATCATCATTTAACAAATATCAGAAGGTACTGTGACGAGTTATCTGGGTACTTCTCTCATGTATGTGTAATATTGAATCCATAACGAAGCATATTGCTCAATATTGAAATCGATACCGAATCGTGAAAGAACCCAAAGAATCTAAATCAAATTAAATTGTGAGGTTGTGGACAATACCCAGCTCTAGTGTTGTGCATATAGTTTTAACCATTCATAAATATTCAGCATGCTTTATAATAATAACAACTATCTCACACTATTAGGCTTTTCATTATGACTGATAAGGTCGGGTGTCATAACATCTTATTTGTTGGCCACTTGCTGTGTTAGTAAAGATCAGAGTGTAATAATACTATATAATCCTTCTTTAACACACTATAAACACTACTGTGTAATAATCTGATTATAAATCACAGAAAGTGCTTATAAGCTGCTTTAAAGGAAAAATGTGTGACTTTTTGATCCAGTAGATGTCGCTCTTGAGCTCCAGCATGAAACCAAAACAAACTTCTGTTTAGCCACGCCTCCTCCATACTGAAGCCTCCGCTCTCCTCCAGAGACACACCTCCAACCCCTCTACACTCGTGTTTGCACGGAGGAGTCATGCACAAGCAGCGGACAAAATTGTCCTTTTCTTGAGCTGTAATCACCTGTGTCCTGCATTGTTGTGTTAGCATGCTAATGTTAGCGCGCTTTAGTTAGCTCGTAGCTTCACATTGTATGTAAACTGACACAGAATGAGCTTGATCTAAAAACTCTTACTAACATCCAAATAATCAGTGAGTATGTTCTTCTTCTTCTCTCTAGTTCTTGACTAAAACAGCTTTTATACACAAGGGGAGGAGCCGGCCGTCACGTCCATGTAAACACGGCACTGACAACAACACAGCCAGCGGGACTCGAGCTTCTCACTCGTTGTAGACAGTCATGACTCAGAGACACATTTACACAGGATAGACTGGATTTATGATTTATTTATGTGAAACATGTCACACATCTTTTCCTTTCGGTAAAATTATGAAATCCCTGGATTGTAAGCAGCTGTAATCCATTACAAGCTGGTTAGAAGTCACTATCGGTCATCATTGTTTAAGTAATATGAAACAGAATACGATTAAAACAATGCAAGAACAATTTATTCAAACATTTAGTCTTAACAAAAGTTGACGGCTTCTCCCCCATCTCAGTTCAGGAAGGTAAAGCTTTAACTTACTCAGTTAATGGAGTGTTAACTATCTCACTGTAAAACAAAGAACTGAAAGAACAGGGACAGAGAACATTGATTCCAACAGGCTGCAGACTTCAGTCCTACTTTAATATGTGAGTAACGTGTAGCTCTTTTGGGAGTGGAACATCGACCTGTCTTCATCTAACACACTGAGATTATGTCTATTGTCTAAAATGTTTACAGTCCATCCCACATGACGTAAAAGCTTTAAAGCTGTTCTCACATCTGCACTCCTGAAAATATCTAGATAATTTCAGAAGAACTGCTCCTGAAATCCTCCTGATCTGGTTGTTCACATATGCTCCTCAAAGAGGGAAACTATCCCTGTCAGACAGGAGGGGGGGGGGGGGTCTCCTTAGGTAAGACATGTTGAAAAGAAGACGTGGAAGTGGTGGACAAAGCATCAGAGTCCTCTATATGACTCTATAATGAATATGTGTCTTTGTATCAGTGCTACATGTAGTTGAAGAGAATCTCAATGTGAACTAAAGAGTGGAGAAGAACATACTGGAGAACAGGAAACATGCAGCAGCAGGTTTATTAGAGCACAGAGATAATAGAGGTGGCGCGCAGACAGTCTATGGTCGTGCAGTGATCACGTGAATAAAGGTCACCACCCCCTCCCACTGGCTCCAGGTGAATTCTCCTGATTATATCCTGCTGCGTTCTCACATTAGCTCACTCTGACTTTCTGCAGAATTAATACGAGGAGAATGGAGGAGAAACTCCGGCTGAAGTCAAAGAGAATAATTTGGTGATTGTGTTCACACATACAGCTCAGCATGGAGTTTTTCAGGAGATTTCTGTAAGTGTGAAAACCCCATTAGAGCCACAAAAACATTCCACACTGAAAGCACAGAGCCTGAAAATTAGGATCAACTCTCTGTGAGAAGTGATAGAGGAAAGTTACAAGTTTATTGATTAGATTTTTACATAGGGATCAGCTGTGACTTAACCAGAGGCAGGGACACACTGTACATGCAGAATCAAAGTGCAGCAGATACTTTAATGTAGACATTTGAACAAGGAAAGACACTGAAAAGATTGGAAACCCTCAACTGATACATGAGAGAGTCGAGGGTTAATGACATTCATGTACGTTGTACTTATGTCATGAATCTGTGGTTCCTCCCTAACCAGCACTCCCATTCAAACACTCGTTCTCTTCTTTAAACAGCTTTGTTGTATGATTCCCTCTGTGGCGCCAGACATCAGCTCTGAAGCTCTGCCATGCCCGCTCTGCATGTTGACAGTGGGCTCTGAATCCACAAAGTTCCTTCAGTGACACACTGTGCAGTGGACATAGCCTTCCTGCGTGAGAGCGCTGCCATATGCTCGCCATTCATCTGACACAGTGCTCGTGCCCGTTGTAACATGTCGCCGTATGGTAGGCAAAAGTTCTCCCCTTGAACGCCCTCTGACAGTCTGCAGTACCGCCTTCTTGTTGTCTGTGACTACACTATTCTTCTTCTTAATAGACCTGAACCCTGTCTTTGTTTTTCTGCTGTCTTTATTGTCTGCTACACATCACATCGATTACTTATTTTCCATTTCACATTAAACAATATACAGTAACAGTTGTGTGATGCTACTTGTTTTGAAGCACTGATCATCAATCAGTTATAGGGGCGGCTGTGGGTCAGTAGTAGATTGAGCCGTCTCTCAACCTTAAGGTCGAGGGTTCGATCCCCAGCTCCTGCAGCCACATGTCTGATGTGTCCTTGGGCAAGACACTTAACCCCACGTTGCTCCCGCTGCTTATGAATGTGTATGAATGGGATTAGTTACTTCTGATGGACTCTTTACACAGCAGCTTCTACCATCAGTGTGTGAATGTGTATGAATGGATGAGTTTATACTGATGGACTCTTTACTCAGCAGCCTCTACCATCAGTGTGTGAATGTGTATGAATGTGTATGAATGGATGAGTTAATACTGATGGACTCTTTACTCAGCAGCCTCTACCATCAGTGTGTGAATGTGTATGAATGGATGAGTTAATACTGATGGGCTCTTTACTCAGCAGCCTCTACCATCAGTGTGTGAATGTGTATGAATGGGTATGAATGGATGAGTTAATACTTATGGACTCTTTACTCAGCAGCCTCTACCATCACTGTGTGAATTTGTAGGTGTGACCTGCGGTGTAAAAATAGCTTTGAGAAGTCAGAAGACTAGAAATGAAAAATTCAAGCTCAAGTCTATTGACCGTTAAACAGTCTTTCAGTGCTCATTCTGAATCAGTAGTATCAAACTGGTTCCCCAAAATAATACAATATAATTAGAAAAGCAATAACATTCATCAGTTTGAAATGTTGTCTTTGTGCTGTTTTGCATTAAATACGGGGAGTCAAAGTTTTACAAATCATCCTGTTTTGATGAACATTTTACCCAGCATTCATACGTCTCTGGGAACAGGGTTTTAATTGTATTTGCCTTCCAGGAGCTTATTTGCATAACTGACAAGGCCAAGTGTTCAATGTAAAGTTCACACTCCTGTGTTGTGTAAATGACAAACTCATTGAATGTAATGCAACAAACAGGGACAGGTACTGTATGTTCATATGATGTGCAAATGGAGGGGGGAGAACATGCTCTCATCCAATATGACAGAGTGATGGATTATGGACTTGAGCTTGTTCAGTTATTTTCTTATGACTACTCAAAGTGTTTTAAACCTTAAACAGGTCACACCTCCACGTTCACACACTGATGGTAGAGGCTGCTGAGTAAAGAGTCCATCAGTATTAACTCATCCAATCCAATCACACGCTGCTGATGAACTGTGCACGCTCTGGAACGGTGCTTCCTGCTTCCTGCAAATCTTAAGGAAGAGTCTGTGAGCTTGAGCGAGCTGCTCCCTTGGTAACATCACATGCCAACATGATACCCACCTCCACTGCTACACATCATCCAGCTCTTCTGTTCCAATGTAATCACTGCATCATGTGGGCATTGTCTGACCACTTACCTCACATAAATTAAATCATGGATGCATGCCAACTTCTCAAACTGAACTGATAAACTAATAAATCAGACGTGATCA